AAAGCTGGATCTGTACCTCACACCATATACAAAAACTAACTCCAGATAGATTAAAGACTTAGATGTGAAACTTAAAACAATAAAGTTCCTCAAGGAAAAAATAGAGGCAAAGTTAAGGGCCCTAATATATGGCATAAATAGACTATCAAGCATAACCCAAAATATACAAATAGAAGAGAGACTAGATGAATGGGATCTTCTAAAAATTAAATTTTTATGTGTTTCCAAAGACTTTTCCAAAACTGTTAAAAGAGAACCTACAGATTGAGAAAAAAAAAGTTTGGCAACGACATATCTAACAAGGGATTTATCTCCAGAATTTATGGAAAACTCCAACAGCTCAACAACAGAAAGACAAATAATCCAATTAAAAAATTTGTAAAAGACACGAATAGACACTTCACCAAAGAGGATATTCAGGCGGCCAACAAACATATGAAAAAAGCTCACGGTCATGAGCCATTAGAGAGATGCAAATGAAAACAACAATGAGATACTGTCATGCCCCAGCACTAGCAGGAAAGTTCAACAGATGGAAAGTAACAAATGCTGATGAGGATGTGGAGAGATTGGGACTCTTGTACACTGCTGGTGGGACTGTAAAATGATATAACCACAGTAAAAAGCAGTATGGCAATTCCTTAAAAAGTTGGAATTAGAAATACCATTTGATCCAGCAATCCCATTAGTAAGTATATAACCTAAGGAAGTGAGATCCAGGACAAGAACAGATACATGCACACCCATGTTCATCACAGGAGCTCTGGTAGCATAGTGCCTAAGGCACTTGACTGCTAACCAGTAGGCTGGCGGTTCAAACCCCCCAGCCATTCCTCGGAAGGAAAATGGAGCAATCTACTTCCGTAGTGATACTGCCTCTGAAACCCAAGGAGGGGTCACTATGAGTCGTGTCTGACTTGATGGCACATAACAACAACAACATGTTCAATACAGCAGTATTTACAATAGCCAAAAGATGGAAACATCTTAGATGCCCATCAGCAGAAGAATGGATATGCAAACTATGGTACATAGAAACAATAGAATACTATGCAACCCTAAAGAATAACGTATAATCTGCAAAATACTTCATAACGTGGATGAATTTGGAGGACATTATGCTGAGTGAAATAAGTCAGTCACAGAAGGACAAATGTTGTTGTTAGGTGCCGTTGAGTTGTCTCCAATTCACAGCAACCTCATGTACAGCACAATGAACATTGCCCAGTCCCAGGCCAGCCCCACAATCTTTGCTATACCCAAGCCCATCATTGCAGCCACTGTGTCAATCAATCTCGTTGAAGGTCTTCTCCTTTTTCATTGTCCCTCCACTTTGCCAAGCACGATACTCTTCTCCAGGGAATGGTCCCTTCTGACAACATGACCAAAGTAGGTGAGACTAAGTCTGGCCATTCTCATTTCCAAGGAGCATTCCAGCTGCACTTCCTCCAGGACAGATTTGTTAGTTCTTTTAGCAGTACATGGTACTTTCAGCATTCTTTGCCAGTACCACAACTCAAAAGCATCAAGTCTTTGGTCATGATCCAGCTCTCACATGCATATGAAGTGATTGAAAATATTATGGCTTGTGTCAAGCACACCTTACTCTTTAAGGAAACATCCTTGCTCCTTAGCACTTGAAAGAGGTGCTTGGCAGCAGATTTGCCCAGTGGTATACAACGTCTGATATCTTGACTGCTGCTTCCATTGGTGTTGATTGTAGAACCATGTAATATGAAGTCTTTGACAACTTCAGTCTTTTCTCCATTTATCATGATGCTGCTTATTGGTCCTGTTGTGAGGATTTTTGTTTTCTTTGTATTGAGGTGTAATCCATACTGCAGACTCTAATCTTCAGTCTTCATCAGTATGAGTATTGTATTAATCCATTATTGTAAAAAGTCAAGGAAAGGTTTATATATGGAAGGAAACTTTCTTTCTTGGGTACCTGGCATGGGAAAGGAAGGGAGGGAACACAGATAGGTAGAGGCAAGTATTGATTTGGGTGAAGAGAAGGGCAGTGTACCAAATGTGAGTGAGCACCACAGTGGCAATGAGGAAGAGGAAGAAAGTAAGAGGTGCATGGGAGTACAGACAACAAAGATGAACCCGTTCGCTCATACGGTACTGTGTTGTCAGTTATGGCAGATGTTGATCTACTGGTAGGTAGGGGTGGACAGACTGAACAATCAAGTATGTCTATGAAGGGGGTAATGTGCCCATGACCATGTATAGGGTTGGCAGACAATGTTTCTACAAGTGTATTTATATATTCTCTAAAAATGTATAGGTATATAGTAGAGCTGACAAGGGGCAAGGTTGTAGTCACTTCTTGGCCACAGCTAGCTACCCCAAGGGAGCAAGTA